TACATTTAGCCAGCTTCAAATTTAGATGATTGTTTACAAAGAACGTTTACTCGTTAACAACACACTTTTTTGTGTTCGGTACAAACGGCTGGTTGCCAAGGTGGTCACCTAGTTTCTTTTTACATTCGTAAATATTTATTGTTATTTTCGTTAAATAGGAACAATTCTTGAAACATGATCAGTATAGGTAAATGAAGTTTCTTTTTATATCTAATTATACCTTTATTATGACATATAAATTAGGAAAATTTAAATTATGTGTGTAAGTAATGGGATATGAAAATTATCGTGTTATAACATTTAAATCGAGGATAGCATGTCCCAATTTTCCTAGAAACTGGGTATTAAGAACAGTCTTTGTGTTATTTAGAACTGGCAAATGCATGCAACGATCTCCAACGGAGTGCCAAAAGCGTGGGAGGAGAGAGTTGCGGGGCATCACCACCGGAAAGTCGAATAAAATATAGGTTTTACACTCAAAGCGGGTCATCATACCGACAAAACGGCTGTTTGATGTTGCAAACAATATTCTTAAATTACAGAATTAATCAATTTTAGACTGTTAAAAGGAAAATATTAATATTGACGTGCACCTCGTTTGTAAACAAACAACCGGCAAACGAAGAAATGAATCCAATTGATATGTTGAAATGCCGCGTTCGACTTATGGTATTTTACAAAAAAACCGTACGAAGTACTGGAATCTAATAAAGCTTCAATGCAAGCACCAAGCACCCATCTGCGAGGGTTGAACACAGAATTAGGTTAAAGGTTGGGGAGGTCGACGCCGCGTTAAACAATTTTAGGGTCGAGGCTATATGGACCGATCATAATGTGGCTAAAAATAAAGTACAAATTATGTCAAAAAATCTATTTACAAATATAATTTATTATTAGGTTATTTTTATTTGCAGCACACCCAGGGACTTATTTGTTGTTGTTGATTGATGGTAACGAAATGTAGGACACGGAACTTAAGACTTTAATTACGGCGTGATATTTTCATGTCGGAATACGAAATTCTCGACTCGGTTTCGCCACTTTCGAATATATGGAATTCCGAGAGTGAGTACCTAGGTATCTTACATAACTATATTTTTATTGGGGCCACGCAAATGGTCTGTTGTCTGATAAGTTTCAGGTGCAAAAGTAGTGCAAATCAATAGCATGCTAGTGGAAAATTGGGGTCAAAGGGATGTAGGGCAGGATGAACATATACCCTACAGGTGGGTCACAGAGGGCTGTGTGCATTCAACAATGTACACCCATGGGGGTTTATTCACATGCATTTGTTTAGCCTGTTGTATCATTAAAGGAGGTCATAACATGGAAAATTGTGTTATGTCCAATGAATCAAGGGCCCATGTGATTTGATTCACTTGAATTGTTGCAGACTAGGGAAACATCAAAAGGAATTGCTAATAAACAAGTTAGAATTATGACAGCATAAGAAACTTAGGTGTGTAGTAATAATAGGGAAACTGAAAAGCTTATTAATTGATTATTATAAATTTTACAGGAAAGTTAACTGCTAAAAATAGATAAAATACACGGCTCTAAAAATAAAGTACATAATTACATAAATAGCATTTGAAAGTGGTTCAGGATATAAAAGGTAAATATCTCTCTGTGTAGGATAACTTAAGTAACAAAAAAGTTAACAGGATGACCAAAAGTATGATTTGAGTCCGAAGAGTTCTAGGGCAAACAATTTGTATGATGATACGATTATTCACAGTGAATGTTGTATCAGATTTACTGATACAAAAGTAAGGTTCAACCCAATAAGATTTTAATGTGGTTCTAAACTTAACTATTTGAATGTTTGTACTTTGTAACAACAATGCCACATGGCTTGTGTAAGGATGATGTAAAATGATTTGTTTCGATATGGACATGCTTAGCACTACCAAGAGTAATACCAACTAACAGCTGTTTATGTATGTTTCAGTAATGAAGGATAAGTAATTAGATAAACCTACCAGGAAATAAGCCAAATCTTAATTCTAATAAGTGCTAGCTACTACATAGTGTTGACATGCTGAATAAATTTTCATATCATCACAACACTTACACTTGTTTTTGGCATTCTCATCCATGAGCATGTTGAAATGGTGGTGGCGGTTCCACGCAGCCATTTTGCCTTCGTGAGGAGCCCCGAGAAGCACCAGGGCCGCCCCGGCGGGCCCAACTCCGTCTAGGGGCTCCAGTGTCCTCAGCACACTACAACTTTGTCACACACTCATAACCCAAGGAACATAGCTATCACACACTCGCGCTCAAAACGCCGTCGCCCCGGACGGCGATGTCATCGGCGCCGACGCGCGGCGCACATGCCTTGCACTTCCGCTCCACGCACTTATGCACACGCGGGTAAACAAGCACGATCAAAACGGCACCGAGCGGTGATTCACCTCTAACGCCCGTCGCGCGCTCCGCACTGCAGGCGGACTGTAGCGGCGCCCGCGAGCCGCAGCCGACTGACACCCAAACACTCGTCCTGTGTCACGTGTGCGCTATGTGCGCTGCACCTAATCACACCAACTAACAACACTATCCCGCACTAAATAATTCACACTACTTATTAGAAATCACCGTCCAATATTACCCACAAATTAATAAATTCAACTGAACGCGATGCGAGCGAGCAAGCAAGACGCGCGACGCGGTTTCCCTTCGCCGATCCGATCCTCACTGCTCCGAATCGAACTCACGAACAAAATAATAACAAATGTGCATGAGAGATGCTCGCTATATTATGTGCACGTGGGTTGCGTCACAGTCAAGATCGACCAAATATTATGAAATCGCATTTAATGATCAGAATGTTTCAAAATTACGATGAAATGCCTAAGAATGCAGACAGTTGATGGCCAGCTAACGAATATAAAATTTTATGAAATACGAACTTCACTGTCGCACACACAAGTATCCAAGTGCTTGTCAGGTCAAATGTTTAAGCAGTATAATTACAACACCAATAACTACACTATTTGTAAACAAAACACAGCCCGTAATACATTCAGAAAATAACAGTTTTGTACAGTAAACGCGAACGCGTTGATCAAGCGCGACAAATAGGACAAAACATGGCAGACTCGAAAAGCACACGAATTTTGTCTATGGTCGTTTTATTTTTTACGCTATGTTTTCACACAGAAAATGTATGATCTTCCTCCGACGCCATTTCATTGATTTCATTTTTAGAAATTATTAATATGTTCTTGGGTAACTAAGTATAAAAAATATAGTTAATGTTTTTAAAGAAGATTCAATGTTAAAATAATTATTAGAAACAGTCAAAAATCTTTACAGCAAAATGACTTAGTTAAATTTTAAGCGGAAATATTGCGTAAAACGAAATCTACAGAAGGGAATCATAGACTAGCCTAACAACTGTTACCACAGAGAATACTATGCTGATTTAGATTGGGATAATCATTCATTCTTTTTTAATTTTCTAAAAAAGACAAAGAAATGAACAGGTATTGGGGTATTAGATTAGAATTTTAAAATAAATAGCTTTATAGCCATCCCTTTGTATCCTTTTGTATTTTGTTTTATTTCTATGATAGCTAGACACAATATTTTTATAAAGAGAAAGAATCAAATTGTAATATCTACTATATTTGAGGCAGTAGTGTAGGTAATTAGTGAATTAGGTGTGTTAGTGCTATTTTATAATTTAGGCACACTAAATAAATCAACTTGTTGTTACAGATTAGCATAGTTACTAAACAACTTTCATGTCTGTGTTGAAAACTGCGAAATAAGAAGTCAGAATGAATTGCAGGTTTTCTATAATATACGAGTATTTTGTAGTGCTTTTTTCTGAAGGTAAATTACCTATATTAAAAATATATCCGTATTCAAGACAATAACGAACACCCAAAAAAATTAATCTTAAACATGTTTATTTGTTTTTATTGAATGTCAAAGAAGAAAAGAGAATATAAATCACTTCCCATTTTTGTAAACAAAGCGTGATACCTTTGCAATATTATGATAAAATACGTTTTGATACCTTTAAAATACGTTTTATAGTAGACTATTAAAGTAAAAATTTGACGTACCCAATAGCATAAATACACTGATGGAGGCCCGTGGCAAATTTATTGAAGTGTAGGCCTAACAAATATAAAAAAAAGATAGAGTTCAGATTGAAACCTCTGAACAGGTTTATTTTTGGGGGGGGAAGATCATCGAATGACTGCTCCCGCCTGGGTGAGGCGGAAGGGAGTGTCAGACTCTTACTGACTAAAAACCACCCCGTTCCTTCTCCTGCACGTCGAGCCGGAGCCCCGGTTACCCGTTAGGTTCTCCGCGACTCCGAATCGGACCTCTGAACGGGTTCCTTTCAGATAGAGCCCTGTGGCATTTGCACGCTTGGTGCGGTGGCTGGGCAACCGGCTGATGTGCAACGTGTCGCGGGTTCGATTCCCGCACGGAATAACACTTTGTGTGATCCACAAATTGTTGTTTCTGGTCTGGGTGTCATTGTGTATGTGAACTTGTATGTTTGTAAACGCACCCACGACACAGGAGAAATTCCTAATGTGGGGCAACGTTTTACAGAATAACATAAAAAAAAAAATTGCCGACTTGGCACCCAGTAGTTACGCCACTGGTTATACGCATTTTAAGTTACAGAATTATACCAATGGTTTTAATAAAGCTTAAGTCGTACACAATCATGTTATATAAATCCCCAATAGTCTCTAAACATTTGAAATAAGGTCTACAATGGAGTTAGTGGAGAGCGGTCACCGGTGACCGCTAGGGAATTGATCATTTTGTTATTATATAATCTGATATAGAGTTGTAAATTGCAAAAAGTAAAAGATTAAAAATTTCACGACACAACCGAAATAAAATCGTATTCTAAACTTGCTAAACACAAATTTTAATCAGTTTCCAGCTTTTTTCATATAGTTTTCTTTTCATTATCTGTGGGAACGAAATGAATGGATTGTTTGCGTTACAAATTTCGTTCATTTGTTCGGTCTTTTAATCTGTATTGTGAGCTATTGTGCTACGCTTCTTGTATCTTGCCTGTGTATTGTCGTGAAATAAATAATAAATATCATATAAAAGTCGTAGTTTTCCCTTGAGTGTAAAATTTTGATATTTGTTGGGAACATTTAATCACAAATAGGTTGTCGCGTTTTTTGATCGAGGTCACCTAAGGTTCAGTGAGCAAAGAACGCGTTGTGTGTGCGTCATAACTTTTAACCTTACTTCATTTTGTGACTGTGGTGTTTATTCGTCAATATTCACCGTAATTATAATAAAACAATGCCTAAAAACGGCGGAAGGATAAGAAATTTCAAAAACAGTGAACATTTTGGTAAGTGCCTGCAATTTATTTGTTTGTTCATTAATGCTGAAAGTCACACATGGAATTTTCCCGTTTGGTGATGCAATATTGCAATGGTATTTTTTTGTTTGTCTACAGAACATGATGACCGCATGCACACTTCTGGAACGAGGCGTGTTAGTTTTAAACCAGGCACGAATAAAGGAAAAAATAAATGGAACAATGCCAAACTGTTATTGGATGATGATATCGACATGACTGGGTCTGCTGGAGGACCCCATGCACATCGCAAAGGAGCATTCAGAGGCCGTGGAGGCCGGTTGAACTCGCCGGCGCCTAGATCAGGTCATGGAATTAACAAAAAGAAATTCGTCCCTGGTCCTCTACCCTGGTACCAAATTATCATACCGTATGGAGCCAAACATGAGAAAGATGTGATTCTGAGGACTCTACTCAGCTTCATTTCGCCAGATATCTTTGTGCCTCACTATTACAAAATCAATGGCAATGCAGCAGTCTTCTATGTGGATGATGTGAAACTCGCTGAAAAGCTCTTCCAAGCCGACAGAAAGATTACTATGTCCGATGGCTTCAAGTTGATGGTAATTGTTCGGAATACGGTTCCAAGTGTAACTGTTGATGCAGAGCTGAAGGAGAAAATGAAATTGGCAATGGCTAAGAGATATAATGCTGTTACAAAGGCGCTAGACTTGACAAAGTTTCATGCGGATCCAGGTGAAATATTTTATGACTAATTTAATTTGTTATCTATGTGGGCGTTATCAGTTTAATGCTTATTGACTTCATTATGATATCTAGTATTTAACTATTACACCTAACGTTTTTACTTCAATTAGATTGCTAAAGGTATTTGAAAGTCAAAAACATAGTTTCTTTATTGATGTTTGCTGTTGCATTCTATTATGAAAGGGTGATTAAATTAAAATTGAGATTTTTTAATATGTATCTCATAAAACAAGTGATTTTATATTACTTTTGAAACTTTTCAGATTTGGCAGATGTATTCTGTGCCTTATTCCGCCCAGTAGTCATGTTGGAAGCTATCAATATCATTGCTGAGAACATTCCAGATCTTGAGGCTTTGAACCTCAATGATAACAAACTCCATGGCATCGAGCACCTGAAGGTCCTACCTAACAAGTTGAAGAGTTTGAAGATCCTGTACATGGGTGACAACAGAGTAAGTTGACATTATTCAATTTTTTACAGCCACATTTTTTATTTTACAAGGTCATTAAGTATCTATTAGTCTAATTTGAGGATAATTTGATGGGTTTTTAAGCTAATAGACATTGTGAAACCAGCTATTATACATAATGTCATATTATATAAAATCAAAATTTTATTATTTCATCAGATCCTAACAGATTACTTCCCAATGCGATAATGTTGTCATTCAATATTAAAATTTATAATTAACTTTGTAATAATACAGCCATGATAATTGCACTTATCTAGTTATCCATCTTTATAAACTCTTCTAATGAGCAACTGAAAATATCGGATTTTTGTCTAATGCTGTTAATTATTTTAAATGCTCTAACCAGAGGAGCATAATATTGACCATGTAAGTGCAAGTGGTAGAGACTTCAAATAGTCTCTACCTCGGGCTCAGCTTTAGCTTTCTGTTTGAGAGGAGGGAGTTAAAATTTGTTATCTGGAACTGAAACTTAATAACTTTACTTTTTAAACATTGTTCTCCAATATATGTTACTATATAGTTACTACAGATTGCTAGATAAACTGTATGTGAGTTAGTCTTATATTACATTATTTTTCTTTCTAGATTCCATTCCTCGGCTCCCTGGAACCATTGAAGGCGCTACCGCTGGTGGAGTTGTACCTGAAAGGCAATCCTTTGCTGAACAGGTTTAGCGACCATGAGATCTACGTCAGGTAGTGTAAAGTCACTTTTACAGGTGGAACATTCCTGATTATGATGGATTAGCAAAATCTGGGAACCTTCGACATGGAACACCAGGGAAGAATAGGTGTTACATGGAGGTTACAAGTTAGAGAAACAATTCTTTGATAAGTTAAACGACAATGATCAATACAAAATTGCTTTATAATTGTGTATTGATTGTCCTAATAGGCTAATCAATTTGATTGTTTAATTATTTAAATAGGAGCAAAACTGATGTGTTGTTTTTGTGATAAATACTTCACAATTCACTCTATTGGCCATTGCTGAAAATTATTCTGTTTGCAAAGGAACTAAAGTCAGTTTTGCTTCTATTTTCTTATTAAGTTTCAGAAACAATCTCCGTTTCTCCAACATACCAACAAACTGCTCTGTTTGCATCAAGAGCTTGGTAGCAGGTTCTGTACCTGCAAACTATAATGTGACAATGATAGCATTTCATTACTTTCTCCCTCATATAGTTTTGGTACAAAAGAAACTTAAATGCAAGATGCACTTACCATTCATAATAATCTTTCTTGTAAAATAAATGTCTTACGAATGTTGTGGAACAATGACTTTTGAGTTACGAATGTAGGAAAACGGAAACTGGGAATTATTTTTTATTTTGTATATTTTATAATCATGACAATCCCAAGAAAGGTCTAATAAAAGTTAATAGAATCGACTAAAATATCAAGATTAAAGTAATACTTCAGCAAAAAACATATTAAAACTAAAATGTCTGCAAATATACAAAATTAAAAAGAATTCACATTTCTTTCTGAGTACCTACATAGTGTCTGAAACAAATTTCTTCTACAGTACGTAGACAACTTCTAAAAACCTGAATGAATTGTTATCGTAGAAAATATTAACACATTGCTCTACTTTAAAATTCTCAGTATTTATGTCTTCGCTAACCTCTTTGAAATGATAGAGAGAGCATGAGGACATATCAGCTTAAACACTGGTAGAAAGCTTTTAGTTCGGGTGATTATTTTCGTAACGTATTTCCCGTTTGTTACTCATGTTAACTTGTTTTTAAATGATGGCATCTTACATTTATTATTTTTTGAAATCATTCTAGCATACTTCTTCTACATCTTGTCCCTTTGTCCTTCAGATTTCTTACAGTCATGTCCCAAAAATACTATATTTTAATTTTATTTGTTTCTATGATTCCTTTTACCTTGGGCATGTCGTTTAAAACAATACAATGTAGAAATATTTCAAATAATCTGCCGAATTATTGATTTCATTTGTTATGCAATCCTACCTACGTTTCGATAACTACCTGAGTCATGTATCAGATACTGAGAAACATAAGGAAAATGAAATATAACGTCATTATTAATTACGTAAATATTTCGTCGCATATTTATACGGAAAAATTATTAAGATAATAAATACTGGTATAAGTTTACCATGAATTCTATAACATAACATAAAACTGTGTCTGTATACCACCATAACCGATGTTTGTTATACAAATGGAACATAATTCTTATGTTATTTGTTACGTTATTGGATTCATGGCAATCTTGTAAACGGACCCTTTACTTAACTGACAAGTTAAACGAAGTAAAACGAATCAAAGAAACAAAAGAACATAATATCAATTTTAAACCTACTTTTTTATGTACATTAAGTATAAATGGGACAAGTTAAACGGCAAGTTAAACGAAACTTTGAAAATCAATATTGATTTTGAATGTTTCTATTTAATTAAAGATTTTAGTGCAACTTCTGAAGTTTTTTGTACTTTGATTTTTTCAGAATGATACTTAACTGTGATGCTCGGAGACATTTAATGATAATTTACACTTGTTAGTAACGATTTTATACCTAAAACATTTCTTAAGGACTGCGCTGTTAGCAGCTCAGCTGTTAAATGACTCCGAGTATGATAAGTATAAATAATTTTAATAATTTGAGTGTATGTCATCAAGAGATACTACTTTATTATCAATAGTATATCATGGTATCATTCTAGACAAGATCAGAGTACAAATAGCTCAAATTTGATAGTCTTGTTCCTATACCTATCGTTTACCTTGTCTTTTTTATACTCTGGGGTGTATTAAAACATATTATAACCATCATGTACCACAACAGATATACTTCAAAAATAGTCCCATCTCTTTCTAACATCAAAAAATGATGGTTTAAGTATGTTATAATAGAAACCCTGAACTGAAACTAATCTGTAACATGAGTTTCAGAGTTTCAGAGCCATGTGTCATGAAATTGCCATATTCTTTGTATTGTCTCCAGCGATGTGCGGAAGAAGTTTCCCAAGCTGACGAAACTGGTGAGTGAATGTGTTTTCAGGATGTTTTTTATACACTTTGAATACATTATGTCATGTGACAGGTCGACCAACCAGATTGAGGTGTCATTTCTACTCTCCAATGACGGTAGGATGCTGTAGTCCTATTTTCTATGACAATGTACAAGTGGTGTTTACTAAAAATACCTAGTAAAAATGCCTTATGCTCTAGTTTTGATACATGAAAGTATTTCGCTTGTTAACATTGTGATAGTAAATAGGAACTTCTGTGAATTAACTACCACCTATTTTTACAGCTATTTCCAATAATCTGTTAAACAGTGGATTTGGTTACTATTTTGTATGGACTAAAGGACATAAACAGTTCTGTATAGTGGCCTGATCTACTTTATTGATAATAGCTGTAAAATAAATTCAAGATTGTTGCATCCTTCATTCATTAACCTTTCTATCTCTCTTGACTCTTTCTCTAATCCTGTTCACATAACATTTCATAATCTGAAGTTATATTATCACGTGTAAACGATATAAATAATAATTATCTTTCTATAAAACTAATACAACTTCAGATTAACCAAAAATAATCATTAACTTCAAAACATCATGACACAAATTCCTTTGCATATTTTACAAAAAAAAAAATGCACAACAGGATGGAGTGGACCTGCCCCCCGCTATCGGATTCGACGTTCTAGAAGATGTGACTCTGCCACCGCGCCAGCAGTCGTTCTTAGTGGACCCTGCTGGCCAAGACTTGGTTCGAGAGTTCCTAACTCAGTACTTCGCTATTTATGATGCGGAGTCTCGTCAACCCTTGCTGGAAGCCTACCATGAACATGCTACTATGTCCATGGCAGCTAGTTACCTTACTAATGATAGTAGGAATGCTGCTACGCAAAGGTATGTTCTTATCTATATTTTAGAGGTATATTTCTAAGTTTCAAGTTCTAGATTATCTTGTCCCGATGTTTGACCTTCTGTGTCTTTGTTGGTTTTTTGAAAATTCCTCAACAGGAATTTTCAACATCCAATAGGGTAGTTTCCTAAATTTTATTTTAAAGTCCGTCTGGTAGATTTATTTAAAACTAGTCACGTATTTTTTCTTTTCTGACAAAATTAAATACTTTCAACGATATATTAATTTGAAATATCGTGAGACGTCACAGCGCGACATTTTGTAACACGTTATGACTCTTAAACTTGCGCCATTTTAGCTAAATATTGCAACTTAATATGAGAAAATAAAAAATACGTGTCTAATATTTTTTCATTATCTAACTGACGGACTAATTAGTTTTATAATTTTGATACCCTGGAAACTACCTAATTCCCAGTTATTATTGTGAAAGTTAACACAACCTGCAGTCTTCATAATTCGAGTAAATGACAAACTCAAGGGTTATTTGTTTTTCTTAAACTTATTGATTGCTAAGTATATTATGTAGTCGATATCGGGTCATTTCAAGTTAATTGCAATGTCATTTTCTGAAATAAAACATCGTAAAGTCAATAAGGGGAGATTTTGAATCCTATTCGAAAATAATTTATACATTTACCGCTCTCTTACACTATTAATTGTTTTCAGATTAAACGCGTACATAACAAACAGTCGCAATATTACGCGTATCACGGAGCGGGAGGCCCGGCGTAGATACCTGCGCACTGGCAGATTGCAGGTCGTCTCCTTCCTCTCCGACCTGCCGAAGACCACCCACGACTTGATGGGATTCGCTGTTGACCTGCTTATTTATACTGTAAGTGGAATTTTAAAGATTATTTCAACAGATACGTGAGTAAGCCGAAAACATAATTATTAAATCGTCTCACGAAAGTTTTAATATAAACATTATTTTAGGTTTCATCATCAGCCTGTATATTTATTTATTTTTATTAATTCTTCTCCTCAATGAGAAATAATGACTCTTTCTGTCTTTATAATTGTTTGTAAACTAACTCACTTGTCTTTACTAAAATTGAATCAAGGTATATGTGGAAGAATATTTTTTAACCTTCTTTCATCCTCGTTCATTTTTCTCCTATTCACAACAATTAGGGCATGTTTCAAAATGTTCTGATTAAGTTGCTGTTAGCTTAAAATGAGAGATCATTTGACATCTACAGAGTACTTACGATATTTATTCCTTTCAGCCCGCCATGATCGTTCTGACGATGAATGGAGTCTTCAAAGAAACCACGACGAATGGCAACCCAATTCGTTCCTTCCATAGGACGTTTGTTATCGTGCCCAACGCCGGCGGTGGATTCTGCATCATCAATGATATGCTCTTCATCACCAACACAACTAAGGAACAGGTGAGAATTTGTTGTGATTAAGTTTTCTTAGAAATTGGGGATCTTAAGAAGATATTGAGGGAAAAGATAGAGATGGAAACCGGAAAATGCACTTGTGATAGATACCTTCAGTCTGGTGTAGAGGAGGCATTACTTAGGAAATAGTAGGACAGAATTTAGATTGAGAGAGTTTTTGTATTCAGGCGTTAGACTACGGTGACCCGTTACGATTTACGTTCCCCGTTCAATGGTACTTCGATGTTGCTACTGATAGTAAAAAGGCAGCTAAAGACCTTTCCAAGAGAGAGAAAGAGATTACAATATTTTTTTCTTTAATCCAGGATGAGAAAGCCTTTGTAAGTGGAGTTGCAGTGGAGCCAACTCCGCCCACTCCAGCGCCGACACCGACGCCCGCCATGGTACAGCCGTCACAGGACGAGACGCAGAAGATGATGCTTACCATGCTCAGCCAACAGACCGGCATGAACGACCACTGGAGTGTTAAGTAAGTTCCTAGTTTTTTTAAAGTGTATAAACTTGGAAGCATAGAAGCAGTGCCACTAGTGTTGTTTTTTTTTCATCTTATAGGACCCTCAGTTAACGAAAAAAAAAAATCGTTTTCCAACAAAATTCTTTCATTTTAAAGATAACTAAATTGCCTTTTATACGTCATATGTTACCAATTAATATAAAAATTGTGTTAGAAAGTATTTATCAAGAAATGAAAAAGAAAAAATGCTGGTGTATCCGTTCCATTGCTCCCAAGTGAAAGGTACTATACTGTCATCTTGTTCCATAGTTTGTGGATTGTTTTCCGTAGCTTTAGCTATACCATAATATTCAAACCTGAAACAATAATTTTGACATTAGTCCATACAAATGACAGAATCATATTTAGTGCAACAACTAAATATATCCTTATTTTACTTACAGTTGCCTAGAACAAACAGGATGGGACTTCCAACGAGCATTATTCGTGTTCAACCAACTAAATACAGAAGGCAAGATTCCTCCCGAAGCATTCGTCAAGTGAAATACGGATAAACGGCTGTGTTAATTGTACATATTAGTTACGAAGAAAAGAAACTTATTTTTTTAGTTAACACTATGACTTCTTGTCGCCTAGATTATCTAAATAAGTGATGGATTCTTTGTGCTCAGAATTTGGAGCATGTGGTTTAAATACTGTGAAGTGCACAAGGGTAATTTGAGAGAAATAATCTTAACAAAATTGAAGAAAGGGTGTTGAATAAGAATGAAAGTTGTGCAGCAAAGAGGATTTATTGTTACTTCGGACGAAGGAAATATGTGCACAACTTAAGTGAAAATTAAAGCAATGGAGTATAAGAATAATGGTATTAAGATAATCAAGCTTCGTATAACTAATGGATTACACAATATCACGATTGTGAAGAAATATATTGAAAAATTTGTACTGAGACGTACATGCAGTATGCTCCAGTAAGATATAGAAGAAGATTCAATCAGAAACCTTTTAAATATTGAAAAAACGTATCATCCAATTTGGATGATCTGCATTTATACAATGGATAATTCTCACTAGGAGAAGTAAAATGTACTTCATCAAATGTAACTGCCATTTTGATGACTCATTCGAGAGATTTTCGTCTTTGAAAAGATGATTGCTTCAAGAAGATACACCGCGGGAGAAAGTTACTTTTATTTTATGTATCTGTCGTTTGTTCGTCCATTCAATGTTGATGTTCTATATATTTGAAAAGATTTAAAAAAGTTTCTAAAAAAAGATATGATTAGCAAATTAATTGAAAGTTATGATTGTATTCAAGTTCTACAAATGTAATTATTATGTTTAAAAAGCTTAATATTTTTAGATCGTCGTGCTATGTGAGTACAAAAGAGAAAAAAAAACATCGGTCGCCATTGTTGTAGTTAGCGCCAAATTATGGTGGTCGCCATCTTGATAGTATTTGCGTATAGTTTTTGCTCATACATAGCACGGCCATCTTCAACATCAGCCAAAATAATTATCAACACAATTTTGTTTTTCAAATTAGCTAAAGCTCTCTTCCATATTAACTTTGCCTTATCATAATTAGAAATTATATTTTCACGTGTAAGTAAAATGAGAATGCTATATTTGTAAATTCGGGCATCATACGACGTCGATTCATTTCTACACCCCGATTTTGTATGGTGCCTATTTATTTTATATTCTTTTCTTTCTCAGTCTATTTCAGACTTAATGGATATAATTTGCAAGTGCATACTTTATATTGTAAAAGAAAAAAAAAGATCATTTGTATTGCTTGCAGCTCTAACTAGCGAAGTATATGAAAAAAATATCATATTAATATTCGAAATGATTTTGTTATTTGTAAATAGTCATTTTTTAATTTTAGTTAAATGTCGTTTGGGGTTTTTGTGGCCGCAGTGTTGGTGTGATAATGGCGATGTTCCTTAAAGATCGGCAGGTTTCTGGTGCTTGACGTGCAATGCTGGGTTTGTAAGAAACCAGATTGTTGTATTCACAGTGCAGTGGGCGATGGACCATGCATTACTGCGATGGAACCCCGGGACTTGTGTCTCAGTGGGCTAGTCGCAGAACTAGTGAAAAAGTTTTCACTGAATATATCAGATAGCACTTTTTTACTTGGCCGTGAAGTTTGTGGACTGCCGAAATCTTCCTGCGGCCCGGGTCGGGGCTTAGGTCTAACTTAAGAGTTAACATTAAGACTGTTACTGAAGTAAATAAATCTTTCTTTTTTGGATTGTATTTTGTTTTTTATTTTATTCAATTGATATAGGTCGACTTACGGCAAAGCTGTATTGTTACATCTAGGCGTGTGAAATGTAGGACAGTGATGCTATTAATAACGATTTAGTACATCGATTAAAATACACAAGGCGCAAACTCCTACAGATTTAAAAATTACGTAAATAACTACGTGATTGACGCCCCAATAGCATCATCTGGGAATCGGGAAATCCGGGAAAGAACATAACTATACGCCTAGCGGTACTTAATTACCTAATTCATCGTCACTAACTATTATGCAGAACAAAGTATTTCCCCGATCCAGTTGGTCCTTATCATTGTATTGTTGAATTGCGAAGTGTTTTAATTAAATATTTGATTAGTTTAGACAAAACATGTACGTGTGTGGAAATTGGACACGAAAATAATTTGTAGGAATAAATCATAGGACTGGAATGTGGTAATCCCCTTAGACTGAAGTTTTTTTTGAAACGGAACTGAGCTGTTTTTTGAATTCTCAAAATAAAGTGTGATGCGGAAGCATCGAAGTCCAAAAAATCCAACACCTAGCTACCGTTTTTCCTTAAATATATATTTAGACAAATAGTAACCCCAGACCCGAGCATACGGCGCGTCGCCTTCCGCGCGCGCCTCAAAGAGCCTTCAGACCACAGATGGGGCCCAACAGGGCCAATGCCGATTCGGAGTCGCGGAGAACCTAATGGGTTACCGGCGAGAGCAATCATTCGATGATTTTCCCCCCTTAAAAAAAAGACAAATAATAACCCACCGTCGTCACAAAAAACTTAAGAAATGCCTTCTCAGAAGACTATCTAGTTATCTACTGCGAAAAAACCCGTCTAAAATTCACAAGAAATAAATAATATTCTCAAAAATTTTGATCCGCATGCAAGTTTATCAGTTGATTTCCTTGTGGAATATCGTATATAAGGCCTAATATAAAACTACTTACCTGTCTGGTTGATTCAGGCCCTGAAAAGAAAAGACGTTATAAATATTGTTGGGATTCTTTGGAGCAGAAGAAAATTTAGATCAGTACAAAAGGCATGTCGAGTGTACCGCCCTTCCTATTCGAGTTTCGTTAGACTGTCAATATGTTTGTCCTGGCAACCAATAAGTATTTTTTGTAAGTCTCGAGTTCGATTCCCGGGTCGGGCAAAGAATTACTGGGTTTTTAAAAATCTCAGTAGTAGCATCCGTGCAAGACTCCGGTCTAGAAATGTGCCCGGTATATGGTAATAGGCTCACCCCACGTACTTAGCTTACTACTACTGGCGTACTTCCGGTAGATCTTGAGGTGCAGCGACGTGCTGCTATGTACTACAGTGCGAGACCTAATTTGTCAGCAAGCTTTCTGGCAGAACGTGATAGAAATAAAATTGCAAGATTGTTTAAGCCAATAACGGACGTTTGGGATGAGCTTATAACTGAATGGCAGGGTAGATGGGCATCTTCTATTAAGGGCCGCCACCTGTATCAGTTCTTTCCATCCGTGCATGAGCGGCTGGAGAGGACATGGTTGGAGGTGGATCACTGTGTTGCTCAATTTCTTACTGGCCACGGCAACTTTAAAGGCAAATTGTTCTCATTTAAACTTATTGATTCACCATGGTGCCAATGTTCGACAGAGGAGTTGCGATACGAGCAGTCGGCCCATCACATACTCTGGGAGTGTGATCTCTGGCAATATGAACGTAACACTATGTTAAATAATTTAATTGTTTCGTCAGGTGTAGCTTATTATACGGACCTTGTGGAATCTAGAACGAATTTCCGTGCGTTTAGGCGTTTTTGCCATACCTATTATTGGAAGCAAGTATAACAGCTCACACATAGGACCCACTTAGTTTTTAGTCAAATTTCCGTGGTGCTTGGCGACTGGGCTTCACCCAGTTGTACAGTCTCTTCTTTGTGCCTTTAGGCTTAATTCATTCTGTCTCCTGCAGTAATTCACCGAGGGAAGTGAAAACCATAGTTTTTCTTCTTCTCCTCTTATAATATCTTCTGATTCACTTCGTTGCGGGAACCAAGACGGTTACTCATGTCCCTGGGACGCGCCGGACTTCAGTGTTCCGGTGTTTTCATGGTTGTATCTACTGTAGATCCTGGCTTACAGGAGTTGCAGCGGTTTTGGGAGGTTGTGGCGGGCTTGTCCCATTAAAAAAAAAAAAAAAAAAAGGCTCACCCCACCCCCTATTACGTGGGACTCATAACATAAATAGTGAAAAGTGGGTGTTACATTGTAGAGGTATAGTGGCATTAAGTGCCGTAATGTGTACCTCTGCCTACCCCTTGGTGACTAAAAGGCGTGATATTATGTTATGTTAATAATTTTGTCACAATTATCTAGTTGTTCAAATTAGCTCCATTTTTTTGAAGTTTGCCGTTGTATTGTATTTTTGTATATTAAATAAGTCAAAAGTTTTCACCTGGTATTTAACAATATTCATAAGACCGAGTACCTAAACATCTATTACATATTTACTGAGTTCGGTCTAAAATTAGGTTCTATATACATGCAAAGATGTCGCTATTTTACATATTTTAATCCACGGTTAATAAAAGATTATCTATGTACCTACTAACTGCTTTGTAATCAGAAACATATTTTATTAAGTTCATGGGTACTTCCCATCTAGTAAATGACGTAGGAACTAATCTGTTTTGTGATAATGTAAACAAAAATTTGTTGTAACTAAGATTTTGATTGCACGTCAATCTGAGGTGAATGGTGTTTGCATCCAGATAATGATAAGGTGATGTTTTGTTATCATTTATTTCATGTACTTTATTAGATCAAGTATTAATAAAGCTAACTAGCGTTTACACGCCGTTTTGCGCGTATAAATTTAATAAGGATCATCGACTTACCTAAACTAGCATGTATATGCTAGTATGTCACATACCTATACAGTGTAGATATTAACTCGTCGAGTACCGGTTTTGTAGACACAATTATAGAACAATAGGTTGCGGTCACCGGTGACCGCTTGGTATTTGACAGTTTAAAACCTAATTTTAAACCATTTCTACCTATAACGCATATTTACCTAGTTGTGTCTTGCCTCACTGCGTTTTCAATAAATATTTACGTACGTGCTTGGTCCTCATTGATTGGTTTATTGGCGCCGCCGGTCAATCAGAGGCCTTAGTACGAGTATGTTTTACGTTAAAGTATGCGGAACGAGAACGCGTTCGGCGCTCTGATTGGCCGGCGCCAATGAACCAACCAATCAGAGGCCTTAGTACGAGTTTCTTTTACGTTTAAAGTATTCGAAACGAGAACGCGTTCGGCGCACTGATTGGCCGGCACCAATGAACCAACCAATCAGAGCGCCGATCGCGTACTCGTTACGATTACTACGTAAAAGAAACTCGTACTAAGGCCTCGCGAAGAAAGCTATTATAACGTTTCGATTTCGTTGAACATAAAACACTTATATACAATACAGTATTATAACATACAATACCTCTACTTACTCTGAATTAGTCAAAATCAATACTTTTTTCGAACTGTCAAAACAACAGAATTTCGTACGACATTTTGTATTTCGACGTCACGTTTTTTTTAACGTCAAACAGCATACTTATTTCTTAAACATTTGCTGTAATACTAATATTAAGTTACTTATAAAATCAATTAATGAAAGTGTGATTTGTTTTTCATACTTATTTTATAGTATTAAATAGTCGAAATAATTTACTTTTGATTAAGGCAAGTACCCAATCGATAAAGAAAGAACAGACAGTCAGACAGCCAGGTCCAAGTTAATGAAAGAGCAAAGAAACTTATATTAAATAAAAAAGCATTACCTAAAATATTCCAAAGGTTTCTTCTACGTACTAGACTAGGTAGATATAACGATGAGAATAATCTCTTTGTTATATTTAGGTCAAGAATTGTAAATAACGCGTCATAATTATGTTTGGTAAACATTTTTTGATAAAAAAGATTTAGGCATAACTAACATAGTTGACATGATATAGAAATAGCAAGATACTACCTACATACAATGTCAGCGCCACCTTCGGTTAAGTAACAACGTAACAACACTGGTTTTGGAACATCAAAGAGTAATAATAAGTAATTTTTTTTAATGGTGGATAATCATCGATTGACTGCTCCCGTTTGGGTGAGGCGGGAGGGAGTGTCAGACTCTTACTGACTAAAAACCACTCCGTTCCTTCTCCTGCACGTCGAACCGGTAACCCGTTAGGTTCTCCGCGACTAGTATAATAAGTATAGGGGAATGTCACATGTAAGTATACCTACCTACTTGTGTAGTCGTTGTCTTGCTAAATGATTGCTAAAATTTGATTCAAATTTTTCGTTGTGATGGTAAACAATTGGCACGGCCCATGGACAACTATAACATCAGGGGAGTTGCGTCCGTTGCTGGTCATTTGGGGATTGAGGATGAAGGAGGACCCGGAGGACTAGGCCTTCGGTATCCTCATCACAGTGAAACGTACCTTGGCGCAAGCGTTATTAACTGCCACGAGGCGGCATTTCGGTTTAGCCGGTCCATCCGTGCCAAAGTATCGCTAACTAAAAAATATGAAAAATAGGTTTTATCCTTATTTTCGTTTATATTTTTTAGACTTTCCTTCCTTAACACCTGTTCAATTGACACGCGACATTTGTTTACTATTTTAAGTACCAACTTGCGTATCTTTGACGTCATACTAATGAATAATTTCGTGCAAGAATTTGAGGAAATGAGACAGCAGTCAGCATTGTTGAATTTGCTAATATAGTCATCTTGTTGCATCTTTATTTTAAGATGTGTGTCAATATTGAACTTTAGGTTGTGGCCTGTTTTAGGTTATAACCTGTACTCAGTATAACATCAAATACCTAAGAAATCTGACTTAATCGAAATGACATCAACAAAATTTTTAATAAAGTAATAATAAACATAAGTAAGAGGAAGAATTTAAAGAGTCCGGTATCCTCTATATCCAGCTGTACCTATATTAAAAATGCAACCAGCCAC